GAACACCGGCCCTCCCTCATAGCGGGGTGCAGCGTATCACAACCCACTTTCCTCAAAGACAAACCGAACCTTCAGGTGTGGAAACCCCACATAACAATTAAAAGCCGGGCATTTCCCCCTGCCCCACCAGCTGACACGGTGTTAATGGCCTCACACACCCACACACACACAGTCCTGACCCGTTAGTTTGTTCATACCAGCAGCGTTAATGGCGTCCCCAGGGCCGCTCCACCATCACCACATAGGCAATTCCCAAAGCTGCAGTCGCAGGGGAAGCGGAGCTGGAAAGAGCTGCCATTTTAGAGGGCAAGGGTCAGGACCCCCAAATTCCCAGGAAAACATGACTTTATTGTTTACACACGTGTTGGACTGTGTGTGTGTGTGTGTGTGACGGGTGGGGGGTTGTAAGCATGTGCATGTATGAACACTCACGCAAGATCATGCATGCATGCGTGCACATACAATATATGCACTGTATGCGTTCATGCTTGTGACGCAAAACACAGATGCACACAGGATCATTCGGCTTTTCTGTATCTTAAAGAATGTATTCACGTCTGGTTTCTGATTATGTCGCTGTGCAGCTACGTGTACGTTTGAACGAGTCGGTGTGTGAGAGCTGTGTACGTATGCGTGTGTCAGCGGGTAGCTGGTAAATGAGGCGTATTGAAAGGATAAAGAGTGCATTGTTTTTATTCACATTAGCTGTTACTCAACCGAGTGACACACAGGCAGACGCTTAGGATGGGAAATCACCTTGGTGGGTAAGGGAGGGGGCTCTGGGAACCTGCTTTGGTTTAAGGTTTGATGAAGGAGTTCAGCAGGACGGGATCACCAACGGTTGATAGAAAACTTCTTCAGTTTCTTCAGCTCAGATATCATGTTTGGATAAGATCTTTTAATTCACCTTTTTATAACCAAACAATGCTTCCTCACAGCCTCATCACAAGTTAAAGATGTTTATCATTTTTGCAGTTCTTCAGATTTTTCAAAAGTCTAAAGAGGTTCAACTTTATAATATTTCACAAGACCAAAATCAAAGATTTGAGAAAAGCCCCAAAAAGAAGTTGAAGTTGGAATTATTTTTGCATTAAAAACCTCGTAAAGACAGTTAAATGTCAGATTTCCTCTGGTCTTAAGTCACAGTAACGTCTTACATACTTTATTGTTCTGTTTGGATCCTCCAGGCTGCCATCCAGATGTCGCTGTGCATGACCTCACAATTCTGCCTGCTGGTCCTACCAGTGATGTCGCTGCTCCTGCTCTTCTCTCCTATTGGTTGGAGCTACGACGGCCTCACCCCAGGATGTCACCTACACCGTGAGGAATACATACCGTTTTTTAAATGCTTTTTTTTACAGTGTCTTAAAAAACAGCATCCATTTATGTGTAACAGCAGCGTCAAAAGTCCTTCTAACATGATTGTATAATAATTCTCAAGTCTCTGCTCGTTTGTATCAGCGTATCACAATAGATTTGACGATGCTGTTCTACATTTCTTTAATTGCTGAATCCTAAACACACACACATACAGGACTTGATTCTCGCTCATCCTTCCATCTTCTCTCACCTCTCCAGCCTTCAACGTGACCATCCGCAGTGACCGTCGTGGCACATGCAAAGGCACCCACCTTGTCTACGCCTGCGTGGGCTACTGCGAGTCCAGCGCCTTCCCATCCAGATACTCGGTGCTGGTGGCCTCCAACTTCACCCACAACATCACCTCCGCTTCACGATGCTGCACCATCAGCAAGGATGCTAAGGTAAGAGGAAAGGAAAAAGAGTGGGTTGTGTGTTGTTGTTTTTTTATCATTCTTACCAGTTGTTCATGTCCTCTTGCTTGACTTCCCTCAGGTTAAAGTTCGCCTGGACTGCCCTCGAGGTCGTCACCATGACGAAATCGAGATCCTGACGGCGAAGGAGTGTCGCTGCGACATGTGCCGCAAGGCCCGCTACTGACACATCAAGACAGTATGCTGCATACCTAATGTACACCAGGATAACAGCCACATTTAGTCAGTTAAGAGCTGCAAACTCTGGTAAATGATTGAAATACAACCAGTTTCTTTTCTATTTCGACTTGTTTTGAATGTTGAAGAACATCCACTTTAACTGAAAAGGCATCAGCTCTCCACCAAGCTGCTGTCAAAACCAGGGTTTCCTCCATTTGTGTTCTCAAAGAATGAAAAACCATGTGACTCTGAAATGTTCTACTAACGTCAAGTTAAATCCATTCAGGCAGAGTAACACCTGCTCTGGATCAGTCACCCAGTAACTTAAGAATAAGATCAAAATCAAAATTCAGATTTCTGTGATTGTGTGTCCTTTTGTGTGCGCTTTTGTAAAATGTGATGTAAGGGAGGTTTTTCTAGAAAACTTGATTGATGCACATGTGATAAAAGGCTTTCTAAACCATTATATCACTCACACTTCAAACTAACTGAACCTTTTTATATGTTTTTGCTTTGAGGCTTGGCAGACTCTTGACTTTGTAAGCAGCTAGAAATAAGAAATAAAGAGTCACACCACCATTCATACTTACAGTAGTGACTCAGGAGCAAGTATGAGTACGCAGAAACTCCAGGATTACAATCAAATTCATCAAACTCACTATACCCACAAAAAGGACTGGGTTTACCTCACTTTCACATTTTCAATTTTGGCAAAATGAATGAGAACATTACATTGCAGATGAGACATCTCATTGACTTGATCAAACAACAAAACAGTAAATATACGTATACGGTCAACCATTGGAATCAACATAAAGATTATGTACACAAGCGGTTTCATTCTTTGCAATAACCACTAAACACAGACAAGAGACCAAAGAATGTACACATTTTATTTATATTTATGAATTTGAACTAAAGGACATTTTGTAAATAGTATCTATTGATGAAACCAAATAATGTCGGAAATGTCAACGAAATGAAAAGACAAAGAATGCACTGTATTGTTTGTGATGAAATTGTATTTCAATAAATTTCTGTTCTGCAACTGTAAAGTGATTTTTTTCTTCTCGCTTTACACACACACGCGCACACACACATATGAACTTGTTTCCATTAAGGGGACAGTACACTGACTTACCCTAACCTTAAACATGACCACTACATGCAACCCCAACCCTTACCCCAGCCTTAAATGGAATGATATACGTCGTGGGGACGTTGTGTCCCCACAAGGGAGACGAGTCCCCACGACTGTTGGCCAGTGGTGTATAGTAACGAAGTAGAAATACTTCATTACTGTACTTAAGTCGTTTTTTTGGATATCTGTCCTTTACTTTACTACTTATATTTCTGTTGACTTTTACTTTTACTTCAC